AAGAAGTTTGAGGGGTCAAGAGCTGTGCATGCAAAAGTATTTTAACAAGAATTTCAAGACGAGACTTCTGACAACATCCACACTTAAGAAAAGTTGTGTGGGTCATTTGCTCAGGCTTTTTATTTAATTATTATTTAATTGCAGGGAGACCAGTTTAGAGAATGGATCCTTAAAAAGTTGATTCAAGGTGAACAAGCATGTCATAGGTCACCCAGCTTTGCTAAGTTGCATGTGAGTACAACAGTATGCTCAAAGTTTCTGATTTTGGTCCAATGTTATTTGATGGATATAAAGCCACAGCATTCACAGACTAGAAATAGTTTGGTTGCCAAGTTTTAATGGGAAAAGTTTACAAATGATATATCGATAATTATATGCGCATTATTTCCCAGGAAACTCTAACTTATGTAGATAAGTATGAACTATCTTCCACAAATGTGATAAAACTTGAAGGGAGACTGGTGGCCAAGCAAGTGAATTAAAACACCAGAGGTGTCCATTTTTATTGGGTAAGAGGGGGCACTTTATGTCACAGTAAATTTTTTTTTTGGGGGGGGGAGGGGGGAGATTTTCATCTCCTTTGTGGATGTCAGGTCATTTCTTTCTTGTTTCTTGGTCATGATGTGCCTGCACATCAGGCTGCAGCACTTGGACATCTTCTACACCTTGCCCACAATATTCTACCATAGATTAGTCTATAATGATCAACAGCTTGGCAACTCAATGAAGCTGGTGTTGTTGTTACAGGCCCGGACCAGGACACTCATCATGGGAGAATTACTGAAGTCCGTCAGAAATTCAGACTCTCAAACCTCAGCTGTACCCAGTGCATCACATGATCAGTACATGACTGTGACACAGGTGTCCAGGGATTTCAGTTCAGTCTGCTCTGTTGCACGAGATGGAGAGGACCTTGTGTTATTCCTAGTGGGTAAGGAATCTACAATAAAGAGTTTCTTCAATCGGTGATTATTTTCTTTATTCTCATGACCTTAAGGTCAGGGGCGGATCCAATAATTTTTGATTAGGGGGGGTCCAAACTTTGGTTCAGAAAGGACTGTTGGACTTTTGAGGCAAGTTACTTCTCCCCCACACCCACTCCCACCAGTCGCGGTTGCACGTTATAATTCCTTGGCCGCTTCAGTACCGTTTACTTGGATTCATTCAAAAGATCAGCCTGTTTAAAATTGATATACGATCCTGCCGATGTAAGAATTTCAGTTTCAAAGTTGTAAGCGTCGGGCCTGTTAGGGGGGTCTGGACCCCCCGACCCTCCCCCTGGATCCGCCACTGAAAGTGTGATTGAAGGATGGCTTTTGCGAGGTGAAATTAGATTCTAGGTGTCGAACGGCTTTAGTTGTGAAACTCGTCACGCTGTTTGCTCATGTAATATATATATTTATTGCTCCTCAACAGAAGAGGCGGAAAAGAAAAGTTTTATTGGTGTGAAGTCAGTTATGTCAGCTAAAAGCAAGTGAGTTAGAAATGAGCATTGTTTTGCTTGCTTAGAATAAGTCCTGAGAGAGAGGTTAGGACTTCCTCTTTTCATGCAGTTTATTTCACGTAAGGTTTCTCGTAGTTCCGAGTTAACAGAGAGATAGGTTTCTTCCACGCTGAAACGGTAAAGCGCAACCGGTAAACGTCAGAAAATGGCGGGAAAAACAAGCTCACATGGTCACGTCTTGCCGCTCACGTTTCACGTAAACGAGGTGCTAAATCTCTCTAATGGTTAAGGGCGAGTAAGAAATAGCTGGAAATAAGAGAAAAGACGGAAATGAGGAATAGGGAGAAGTATAAAGTTTTTATTTTTGCAACGTAATTTACGCTGTGCTCAGGTTTACGGTAGAGCAATTTATAATTGAGTTTAGAAAGTGATTGGTCCAGAAGACTTGCCCATCCTCTCAACCAATCAAATTCATAGCTAAGAACCAATCGCCACTTGGTCACCCGCATTTTCCCGCGTTTCAGTCAGGTTGCCGGTTTTTACTTCGAGTTCTAATTGGCTGATGATGATGTCAACCTTTGCTCTTATTGTTAGTTGTGATTACTTTGATTTTTTTTTTTTTTTTCAGTTCTCAAATGAAAACTGTTCTTACTAGTTTTCAACTGCGAATTAAACCGCCCGTTCTCTTGTTTACCTCCAGAGTTTTTCAGAAGATGTTTTCACAAGATCTCGGCCATGTTTATGCTCATTTGCCAGTCAGTAGGACCGGTTCGTCTGTGGCACCGCCAGCACTGAAGCGCACGACCTCCTGGACTCGTTCCAATCCCCTGATGCACGCAGGATTGCGTAGCGGGAAGATGAACCTGGAGAAATTGCGGCGCAGTCGAAGCGAGAGCGACAGCAGCCATGACGACGGAGTCACCTTAGAATCAGTGACAGATCTTCAAAACAGAAAAGAGCGTGAACTTTCGAGGGCTTCGTCTCAGATGCAGTGCACTGCAGAGGTAAACCAATACCGCTGGCCTACATTAAACTGACCTGGAGCTTCACGCCAATAAACGCGGGAAAACGCGAGTTACTAGTCGTGATGCTTCTAATTATGAATCTAATTGATTGAGGAGAAGGCGTGAATTTCCTTGAGCAATCAGAAAGGCACATCAATCAAAAGCAATCCAATGCCCGATTACTTTCTACTTTTCTATTGAACTTACTCTAAACTGAACTCTAACAACAATGGGTAACCTGGTGTTATGAAGTGTGGAAATAACTGAGTATCATCAGAGTTTTTTTCAGTCGTTTACGTTTGTTTTCGTCTTCTTCAGGTTATCGTCGTGAAACAGTTTGAAAGTGGCGTGTTTGAAGCCCTGCTGGAGTTTCTTCACGTGGGATCATGTAACCTAAGATCCAGTGTCTTGCCAGGCTTGTTTGCAGCTGCGCAGTATTATCAGGTGGAGGAATTACGTCAAGTCTGCGTCGAGAGCATGAAGCAAAAAGGGATATCACCAAGATGCAGTGTGAGTTCTTTGTCTCGATTTAGGAAGTTTTTCCTACAGATTTTTTGTGACCATGGATACCTAAGAGACCCTCAGAACAACTTACCCCTAAGAGTAACCAGCATCTAATTTCTCCTTACAGCAATACAGCAGAAACAAACATTTATGTGAAGAGAAAAAGGGAAATGATCGCCAACCAAAATAGCTTTGATTGATGACATATCGTAATGAAAAGTTGATAAAGTGAAATTTCTCTGGTAAAACATTTGAAAGTATTTGTTGTCGACGGAGAATGCCAACAGGAATGAAAAACGCTTTATGTTCTAACTTGATTTTAAAGTTGTATTGAATTTGGTTTTTCTTAGGACCATTTACTAAGGGACGTAGCGTCGAACAACCTAACTGGTCCTACTCTGGGGAGAAACGTAAAGACGGAATGTGTCACTGATACACACTGCTAGAAATCTTCCCGAAAAACAGAGCATGAAAAAAAAAAAAAAGCCGAAGGGAGTGGCGAAGTTTTAGATTCCAACAGTTGAATAGCTGCATTACACTTAGTCTTGCACTGCTCTTCGGTCGACTTTTATCAGTCTCTAATAGCGTGACAGAGGCTGGCGTGACAGAGGCTGGCGTGACAGAGGCTCTAATAGCGTGACAGAGGCTCTAATAGCGTGACAGAGGCTGGAACGAATCAGCCCCACCCGACGCTGGAGTCGACGGGAAGGTGGAAGGTAAGAAATTCTTCCCTTCTTCCACCTTCATGTTTGTCCCAGCGCGATCTTCTTTAGAGACAACCGACTGGCATGAGTCAGCTTTGTTTCGTGGTTGGATTTCACGAGGGAGTTCTCAAGGGATTGATGTGTGATCTGCATGGCATGTTAGGATGAACTTGGGTCGATTTTGAAGAACCATTTGGGTGGTTTGCATTCGATGAGGATTATCATTAGGGATGTGTACATTGTTCTAGTCTTGGCGATGGCACACTGTCAACTTCATCAGCCGTAAACCAATCTCGTCTAAGCCATGGCCTGGTCCATTTGTCTGTTCATGACAAACAGACGCGCTGGCTACGTACTTGAAACCATATATTTTTACGGAACAGACGCGCTGGCTGTATTCTTGAAACCATATATTTTTACGGCCATCGCAATAGAATAATTACAATTTATGGAGACAGGTGACGTTTTGGATAAAGATAATTAAATCATCACCTGTTTTTTTTTTTTTCAGTCATGGGGCTCTTTTAGCGCTCTCCCGAAAAAATTCAGCATGTGCTTTGTCAACGAAAAAGAATAGTCGTCCTTTTTAAGGCACAAGTCGTCGCGTAAACGATTCATGAGGAGTGGGAGAGCTAAAATATTTTTATCACGGAAGTGAACTGTTTGGCCCCTATTGTGACTTGCATCTGATTTCTCCTCACAATCTGAAGTCTAGGCTCGATTTCTGCCGCTCTCTCGAGTCCGGTAATCATCGTTCCTCCTCGGGAAGGAGCGCGGGCTCCGGTTCCCGAACAGCGGCTGGTAATCGAGCCTATATCAAGCCTGAATCACACATTAAAGTCACTGGGATAAAGGAAATGATAACCAACTAGAAAAAGCTCTTGACTGTTAAACAAATTCTCCTTGTCAACACCTTAGGAAATGTATAGAGAACAGTATGGAGAATATGCATACTGATGTTAGGGTGTAATGGGTTAAAGGATTGAAATCTTTTTAGTGCGAGGGGTATGAAGTCATGTTGATATACCTCAGCCAAAAAAAACTTGGATGTGAAGACATTTTAGGAAACAACTTAGAGCCTTAACATTTTCACTCCCAGAAGTGATTAACTTGTAACTTCTCCCTATGATATTCCGTACATTACTCAACAATCACGTAATGCGAATACTCAAACCTATCAGGTAGAAGTTACTTTGATCTAATACCAAATTTACGTGACTGCTGTATAAAGAAATGTGTAGCAGTCTAAAGGGAGAATTACAAGTCAGATCTTAAGAATTAAGGGGTTAACGTGGTTGAACAGAATATAATATATATGCAAAATTTTAGAAGCCTGTAGAAATTACACCTATTTTGCATTAGTAGTACTTTCTCAAAGTATTTTCTTCCACTTATTAGTACTTAGTCTCCCTTGCAACCCTTTCCGGTGGCGTCACGCAAGCGTGGGGGAGTTCGCTTGCGTGACGACTCCGGAAGTGGCTGTAAGGGAGACTAATAAGTACTTGTAGTTTGTACATTTTATTAAGAGGACTTGTGTAACAGGACCGCTTTATATTTATTACGAGTACAAAAACATAGCTGAATTTTTATATTGATGTAACATATTGCAATAAATGAATCAAACATGGCACAAAGTTTTATCGATTTGTTTCTTTTAATAATGGGTTCTTTGAAAAGTCTCTCAGTGAGATTCCGGGAAGGTTGGGCGAGACTCCATGAATTACTTCGTTTTCATCGAGTGCCCAAAACAACGTTAGCCAGGCAGGCCGTTGCGTACATTAATCAATTGATTTACCCAGTGAGCTTTGTTTTTGAACGCCATTTCCATAGAAAATGCTGAATTTACGGTTGACAGCCATAGACTCTAAATCTTGTCTCACGAAGAAGAGATAAATAGAAAAGAGGCCTTTCTCGAATCTCGAGATCATCTTTTACATTCCCTCCAGAGTACACTTATAGGCAATCCCTACATTCCCTCTTTTTCTGGGATGCTCATCGCGTAAGTCGCCGCGCGGAACTCCGGGAGTGACTCGCGCGAAGGCTGTTTGAAGTCTAATTAACAATTATTCCACGAGCGCGCGTTGGATATGAGATGATAGATAGCCAACGAGGCGCGTAGCGCCGAGTTGGCTATAATCATCTCATATCCAACAAACGCGAGTGGACTAATTGTTTTATTAAAAACGCTGCATTAAATTATTGAAGTTTATTTTAATTTTAAGCTTACGCGTACGCTTACCATATCGTAGTTTATGGTATATTGGCTCATATACCATAATGGCTAAGCTAATGNATTTGGATATATCAACAAAGTTGAAATGGTAAATTGGCCACCGTAACGATTACAAAAGCTGACGTTTCAAGCGTTTTGTACTTTTAAAGGCAGAAAATGGAGCTACACACAACCCACAATTCCTCTATTCGCTCCAACGAAGGGCTAACGCTCTAAACGTCAGCTTTTGTAATCATTACGGTGGCCAATTTACCATTTCAACTATGTTGATATATCAAAAATTATTTCGTTACTTCCACCGATGCAGCCCCAAACAGTTTCTTTTGAAACTATCAGCCTTTATTCATTTGAATTCTAATAAAACTAAGCTGATACTTATTGGCACAAAACAACAACTGGCCAAAGTAAAAACTACGCACCTCAGTGTAGGAAACGACCAGATTACACCAAGTAAAGTAGTTAAGAACTTAGGGGTGTGGCTAGACCCATCACTAACAATGAACACTCGTATAAATAAAACCTGTAGTACAGCTTTTCATCATCATATAATTTACGTAGAATAAGGAAATATTTAACACAAGAATCAATTGAAATTTTAATTCATGCATTAATTTATAGTCGTATCGACTACTGCAGTAGTTATATTTTGGGCTGCCAGGCTATCAAATCAATAAGTTATAAAGAGTGCAAAATGCAGCGGCAAGGTTGATGTTCATGGTTAGTAAATATTGTCACATTACTCCATTACTTTTTAAACTTCACTGGCTGCCTATTCGTCAACGTATTTTATTTAAGATCCTTCTGATCATGTCTAAGGCTGTTTATGGGCTTGCGCCTAATTATATATTAGAATTAATTAAGTTAAAGACCCCTGGAAGGTACAGATTACGATCTTGTAATGATGATATATTACTGGAATTACCAAAAGGGAAGATGTACTACACACTCGGGGACCGATCTTTTCAAACAGCCACACCAAAACTTTGGAATGTTGTTCGATATTATATTAGAAATTCAAAATTGTTGAATCCTTTAAAAAAAAATTTAAAGACCTATTTATTTAAAGAAGCTTTTAGTTGTTAAATATTGAATTACATTAGATTAGATTATATATAGTTTTGTACTTAAATTACACTATTGTACATTTTTAGATATTTTATTGACATATATTTAGCATATATATTATTTTATTTTTGGAATTTTTTTCTTTTCTCTGTGTGGTTTTTTTTTCACTGAGATTTTTGTAACATTTTAGTTTCTACACTAATGAAAATGTATATTGATATTAGTGCAATATAAGTCAATAATTATTAAGTTAATAATTATTAATTTTTCTTTTGTTCAATTTCTGAGTTGAGGGAAGAGGCTTTTTTTAATTTGAGCGCATTGAAAGACAAAACTGCTATATCTTAACCTTTGATTAATGGGAAGCCCTATTTCCCTAGGTCATTGCAACCCTGTTGGTTCCCTATACAGTCCACAACTAGTGGTCATGAAAAGACTCTTCCATAAGATTTCTAACCATTTTACATCTTTATCAGAAAACTATAATGTATCAGAAGAAGAATTATGTAGGTTTGTAATCGAGACTGATTATAATCCATCCCTTTTATCCTTAGGTTGCATTTCAGAAGACGTTACAGTTGTCATATGTGGATAAACTACTGAATGACATCCAGCTGGAGTTTAGGGACAAATACAAAGATGATCTTGAGGCAGGTGTTATGAGAAATTATGAGTTTAATGAAGATTTCAACAGATTGCTCAAGGAAGCAGAATTAAGAAGCAAGTTAGAGGCACAAGCCCCTGCAAAAATGAGAACCTTTGAAGAATCAAAGAAGTCACAGAAGACGGTGGCTTCACTCAAGATTGATAAGAATGAGAAGAATAAAGAAAGTGGCAAATCTGGAAAGAAAGGTGGCGCTAAGAACAAAAAGGCGGAACTTGTGGAAGAAGGTAAGATCATGTTTCCTTAATTTCTGTATTTTCACAATTTTGACAGCATACCAGTACATACAACCTCTCAGTGGTTGTATAGGACTCTCCCTGATACCAAAACAATCTCAGTTGATCCCATACACAGGTCACCACATTTCCCAGGTAAATGAGACCTTTAATTCCTAGAAGTAATTTACACATAACCTCACCTTATAATATCCATACATTATTCAGCAAATACCTTAACAGTATGTATAACTTAAATCATAGACTATGTTTCAAATAATTTTTGTTAATAACATTGTAAACTGATTCCAACAGTTGATTCAAAGCCATCCAATGGAAAGAAACCCTCAGCTGAAAGCAAAAATGATCCCACAAGTGAGGAAATGATCAGATTGAATCGTGAAAAATTCATTAAGAAGATGACAAAGGGTCCAGCAGTCAGGTTTGTTTATTTCTGCTGACTTGGTTTGGGACAAACGTTTTCATAGTTGTAAAAACAGTCTGTATGGTGCTTTTGGTTTCAAAATCTCTAGTTTGCATTTGGTACATTCCACCAGTAAACAGAGTCCCTCAAAGTTTAGCTGTTCTTTGTGTTTGCTTTGTGAATACTTAAGCTAGAAGTCAGGTTGTTGATGGTGTAAAGACAAAGTTGTAGTAATAAGTTGTAGTTTTCTAATCAGGTTTTGTCCTGACTCTTAAGAGCTATTCACAGTAGAAAGAATGAGTCAGATCTTAAGGTTAGAGGGACAAGTACATAAGCTTTGCTACTGTTTACAGCAAGAGCTCACCAACAGTAGCAGCCAAGAAAGAGCGCAAAAAGGAAGCCAGAAGGTGGGACAATGCAGGAACTACGCAGGAAGGAAAGACCTTGGACTACAGTAACAGTAATGGTACCCAAACTAATGGAAATGATGAAGAAGAAGACCTTGATAGTCTGGTTAGATAATGAGAAATACTATTTGGATGTTTTGTTTGATCATTTCTCTCTATGCACTTATTTTCTGCTAACTTAGCACAAGGTATTTTTCTATCCTAACTGAAAGATTGTCCAGGAAATGAACAATTACATCAGCAAAAATGAAACATCTAAATCAAGGTTTGTCTGCATTTGGCCAAGCCGTGAGTGCACTGGGCAACTCTTGATCCCTGGTCAGGATTGAGCTCAAGCTTGATAACTTGTGTTGTATTCCTAGGCCACACAATTTCCTTCACGATACCTCTTTCTCTGAAGAGTGTAAAAAAGTACTGGCAAAGTGGGAGGTAACCCTGTAGAGGAGTGGCAACTGGTCCAGGTGGGGTGGGTGGGGGTGGCAATACCCTCAGTTACCCTCTAGCACTTAAGTTGAGTAAACCTCTTTTCACTGTTTCTCACAGCGACCCATGGTTGGAACAATGCAGGGCGAGATAAAACCAATGGAATATGAGTCTGAGTCAGAAGATGAAGAGGAAGTAGTCAGCAAGCCTGCTGAAGAAAGGTGTGCAAAAAGTATTGCCCTTTGCCTTAACATTTCAATGCATAATTTGATATTTGCTTTATTTTATATCAAAACTACCCATCTTATGAAACTTGATGTAGTTTTACTGGTGTTCTAGACCTTTCATTATAACACGAAAAAAAATTTGAGAGTTGCCAGTTTTTGTTTGTTTTGTGCTTCAATACTTTATCCCTTCAATAAAGGGTTAGAGTTTAAAAAAAAAAAATGATTACTTTTGAGTTTAGGTATTTCATATGCAAACAGCAGTGGCAATGTACTCCATGGCACCATGTTTCATTAATCTTACTTAGAAAATTGTTTTCCTTTTTATTGCTCTACCTACCAATGTTACTCCTCTAACACCTTCAAACAAAAACACTTTTTTCAATACTATTCCAGCTATTAATCACAATTTCAGGGTTGTCTCATCTGTGATAATTTATTAATTTCTGTTACAGCAGGTCCTCTGGTCTTGGTGGGGGACTCTTCTCTTTCTTCAAAGGCTTGGCCGGACAGAAGACACTCTCTCTTGAGGACATCAATCCTGTGTTGGATAAGATGAAAGAGCATCTAATTGGTAATGAGTTTTTATCAATACCCTGGTTTGCTGAAGTCCAAAATGAAGGAGTATGCTATGTTTTCTTTGAGGTAGTCTTACCATGCACATGTATGTGGTATTGAAATAATTTGGATATATCAACAAAGTTGAAGGGGTAAATTGGCCACTGTAACGGTTACAAAAGCTGACGTTTCGAGCGTTAGCCCTTCGTCGGAGCGAATAGAGGAATTGTGGGTTGTGTGTGCTTTTAAAGGCAGAGAATGGAGCTATGTTATTGGTGGGAACATGGCAACGAGAAAAACAAGAATAAATTAGTGGAATGAAAAACGTTCGTTGATCCCTGTGGGATTTAGACTGCCGGGATGAACGAACGCTTTTCATTCCACTAATTTATTCTTGTTTTTCTAGTTGCCATGTTCCCACCAATAACGTAGCTCCATTCTCTGCCTTTAAAAGCACACACAACCCACAATTCCTCTATTCGCTCCGACGAAGGGCTAACGCTCGAAACGTCAGCTTTTGTAATCGTTACGGTGGCCAATTTACCACTTCAACTTTGTTGATATATCCAAATTATTTCGTTACTCCCACCGACGCAGCCCCAAACAGTTTCTTTCGAAACTATCAGCCTTTATTCATTTGTATTTTTCTTTTAGCCTGCTTCCTGCCTTGTCCAATCTAGAAAATTTACAAACGGGGACGGAGGTGCTGGGGCGGGAATTTCCACTGCGACAAATTTCCGTCTGAGATTGAGTCAAGGGAAAAATATTTGATACAATGAATATATGAAGTTCATATATTTTGAACTGCGGTATTA